ACTCAGCATGTCTCTGGAGTCAGGGGAAACCAAAGCAAAAATGAACTATTGGAACTTCATCAAGGTAAAAAGCTGCACAGTGAAGGAAACAATCAGCAAAACTAAAAGTAACTGACAGAATTAGAGAAGGTATTTGCAAATGACATATCAGATAAAGGGTTAGTATTCAAAATTTTTAAAGAACTTATCAAACTCAACACCCAAAACAAAGAATCCAGTGAAGAAATGGGCAAAAGGCATGAATAGACACTTTTCCAAAGAAGACATCTAGATGGCTAATAGACCCGTGAAAAAATGCTCAACATCACTCATCATCAGGTGAATACAAATCAAAACCATAGTGAGATACCACTTCACATGAGTCAGAATGGCTAAAATTAACAAGTCAAGCAGCAACAACAGATGCTGGCAATCATGCAGAGAAAGGGGAACTCTTTTGCCGGTGGGAATGTAAACTGGTTCAACCACTGTGGAAAACAGTATGGAGGTTCCTCAAATAATTAAAAATAGAACTACCTTTTAGTTCTACTAAAAATAGAACTACCCAGCAATTGCACTACTATGTATTTATCCAAAGGATACAGGTATGCTGTTTCAAAGGGACACATGCACTCCAATATTTATAGCAGTGCAATCAACAATAGCCAAAGTATGAAAAGAATCCAAATGTCCATCAACAGATGGATGGATAAAGAAGATGTGGTGTGTATATACAATGGAATACTACTTGGCAATCAAAAAGAATGAAATCTTGCCATTTGCAACAATATGGATGGAACTAGAGGGTATTATGCTAAGTGAAATTAGTCAGAGAAAGACAAATATATGACTACTCATATGTGGAATTTAAGATACAAAACAGATGAACATAGGGGAGGGGCAGCAAAAATGTAAAAACAGGGAGGGGGACACAACATAAGAGACTCTTAAATATAGAGAAAAAACTAAGGGTTTTTGGGGGTTTGTGGGTGGGGAGATAGCTAAATGGGCAAGGGGCATTAAAAAACACACTTGTTGGGATGAGCACTGGGTATTATACATAGGGGATAAGTCACTGGATTCTACTCCTGAAATTATTATTGCAGTATATGCTAATTAACTTGGATGTCAAATAAATAAATAAGTAAATAAATAAATAAATAAAACTCTGATAGAGTAAAAACTTCTTAAAAATGTCTAGAATAAGGCAGATCTTGGAAATTATTTGTGCATCTAATAAGCACCATATAGCAAAGAGTGTAATGTGATACAAAAATATAAACAAAACAACTCACTGGGCCATCAAATGTGAAAACACTTTTGAGAAAAAAATAATTATAATCTTGGAAAGTAAATGGCAAAGAAATCAAACTTAGAAAAATAAAAATTTCCAATAAGTATATGAATTATTATTATTATTGGATAATAATATAGGAGGAACTAGCGATTGAAACTGCAGGGCTAGAATTGACAGAACTTACTTTTTAAAAATTTTGTAGAATGGAAGTCACAAAAAAATAAAAAATAAAAAATTAAAGAATTTGTAGGAACAATCACTTCTTAGGGTTTATTGTCTGGGCCTATTACACTGACATTAGACAGATTAAGTAGAGAAATGTATACAGATTTATATGTTTTATGTGACTAGGCAGCCCTCATAAAGGAATGAAGACCCCAAAATGGCAAAACTTGAATACTTTTATATCGGTTTGAACAAAGAGAGGCAACTGTGGAAGAGTAGCTACTCTAAGAATGTGGAGTGGCTAAAGGAAGATAAGAATTATTTTAACAAGGTCTGTTTGGACAGATTTCTCTTGGCTTTAACTCCCTATAGAAGGATGATTCTTTTCTCCTAGTATAGGGAAGGCATCTTTCACATGGGGGTTTTATCACCTGTTTTCAGGAAGAAAAGGAGAGGTTAGAATACCCTTCATATATCTGCTGTTTTTCAAGTCCCTTTACCTCAAAATAATCTTTGCCAAAGTGGTATATTTTGAGGTGGCATATTCTGCCACCCTTGAATTTTAAGGATAATTTTGCTGGAGACAATACTAGGTTCATGGGCTTTTTCTTTGAATACTTTAAGTGTGTCACTTACTCTCTTCTTGCTTGAATGGTTTCTGAAGAGAAATATGATCTAATTTTTATACTTCTTCCTTTAGAGGTAAGACTTTTTTTTCCTTCTGGCCCCTTCAGGTTTTCTCTTTTTCTTTGATTTTTCTACAATTTGAATATAATATGCTTAGGTGTAGATTTTTTGGCATTTATCATGCTTGCTGTTCTCTAAGCCTCCTCCATTTTGGAAAATTGTCAGACATTACTTCAGATACTGTTCCTGTTCCTATCTCTGTTTTCCTTTTGGCATCTCCATGGTGCACATGTTACACCTTTTGTAGTTGTCTCATGGTGCTTAGATATTATATTCCATTTTTTTCACTCTTTTTCTTTTGCTTTTCAGAGAAGTTTCTACTAATATATCTTGAATATCTTCAAGCTCACTGATTCTTTCCTTAGCCATATCCAGTCTTCTGATGAACCCATCAAAGTCATTCTTCATATCTGTTTTTATGATTTCAATACCTAGCAAATCCTTTTAATTCTTTCCAAAAGTTTCCATCTCTCTGCTTACCTTACCCATCTTTTTTGCCATTTTCTTTCACTAAAGCTCTTAGCATATTAATCATATTTTAAGTTCCTAGTCTGAAAATTCCAAAATCTCTGCATATCTGGTTTGGCTATGTCTCTTCACACTGCACTGTTTGTTTGCCTTTTAATATACCTTGTAATTTTTTGTTGAAAGCTAGACGTGGTGTGTCAGATAAAAGAAACTCAGGCAAATAGGCCTTTAATGTGAGGTTTTATGATATCTGTCTTTCTCTGCCTGACTTCTTTCACTTAGCATGATACCCTCCAGTTCCATTATGTTTTAAATGAAAGTACAATACCTTCTATGATGTATAGCAGGAATGTCAGTCCTAGAAATTTATTTTCCCCAATGAAATGTTATGTGGAACCCTACTTATTTACTGGATCACATCCTTTAATGCTCAATCAAAAACATTATTCTGGCAATAGTTTTTCATTTATTCAATTCACTTGTTGAGTACCTACAATGTACCAGGCACCATTTAATACATTGTGATATATTGGTCAACAAAATAATCAAAGACCCTTTTGTCCACAGTACATATAGTGCCCCAATATAGATTGGGATCTAAGTTACATTAAGGTCCCTATGTTCTGATGGATCAATTTAGAGCCCCCAGAAAGTCCTTAATGACACCTGTTCTACCAATGCTTAACTATTCCAACTTGAGAAATGGCATGAGCCTAAGATGCTGATCTAGTGATAGCTCTACAATTTTTAAACCTCATTAATTTCTAGCCAATTACTGAGATTTTAGTGTTTTAAAATTACCTTGGGGTCCAGGGAAGCCTGTGGCAACTATCTTAAAAGTTTGGGTATGCTAAATGTTATACAATGAATTGATGAAGTTAAGAAGTGTTCTTCTGGCTGCCTTTTTATTTTTTTAAATAAAGAATCTTTACAGTTTTTACGGACCTTTATCCTATTGATAACCATTGATTTTTTTCTTTGTTCTGTTCTCTATTCAAAAAAATAATACTTTTTTATGTTGTGTCTTCAGCAATTCTGTTACACAGCATGTGCAAGTAATATGACATAAATTATAAAGTTATAGTTTCCAGAAGTTGCATAAAGTTAATAATATAAGAAGTAGTATCATAGGTAATGCTTTATAAAAAGAAATTCTGTCGTTGAAATCTGCCAACTTAATTTTTTTCCAAAAGCATGCAAGGAAGAAAGTGTATTGACAGAGGGTGGCTGGGGATATTGGGAAGCATGAAAATGTTGCAAAACATTAAGTGGTAGGAAACTGTCAAGAAAATATAAGCCAAAGGGGTGCCTCGGTGGCTCAGTCGGTTGAGGGTCCGACTTTGGCTCAGGTCATGATATCACGGTTCGTGGATTCAAACCCCACGTCAGGCTCTGTGCTAGCAGCTCAGAGCCTGGAGCCTGCTTCAGATTCTGTGTCTCCCTCTCTCTCTGCCCCTCCCCCACTCACACTCTGTCTCTGCCTCTCAAAAATGAATAAACATTAAAAAAATTTAAGAAAATATGAGCCATTATAAAATCCTGTTAATAGTAACTGTTTCTAATTCAAGACTATTTATAACAATCTATGTGGGAGAGTACATGGACAACAGGTAAATAATTTTAGGACAATATTTTAAGTGTCTCTGTAGTCTCAAACAAAGACTTATAGGATAGCGAATGCTTAGAGAAAGAATTAGAGATTTCTTAGTCTGCAGTTCCACATTAGGCAAGGAATACTGTGGTAAGCAGCCACCAGCATACCTAAGGCTCCTGAATGGCTCCTCTGACTGTGACCCGTCCTATGATACTCCTCTATCCAGGTGTTAATGGAACATCAGCAGAGGAAGGATAACTTTCACATTGGAAAAGGATTCCATCTTGTTGTCCACTTCCCTATATTAATCTTAAGTACCTTATATCCCATGATCTTGCAGTATTGTCCTGCAAGAGGATTGAATTTTATGTAAAGAATGTATGTCTTGGGCCTTCCACAGGAAGGGTGTTATTCAGAGTACCAAGTATACATTTACAGATGTGTGCATATATTTATGTATTTACGTTATGTATGATAAAACCAGGGAAATAATTAACACTAGAATCAGGAGAACGATTTACCCTTAGGTTGTAGTGAGGAGGATGAGATTTTGGTGAGCTTCACAGAGCTCTAAAGGACAGCTTAATTCCTGTGTTTTAAGCTGAGCAGTGGGCTTATGGCTGTTAATTTTACATATTATCTACTTCATTTTAAAATTTGAAAAAAGGAAGTCACACATACGAAATGTTATATCATGAGTATCTGATTTTTTTAATCGAATTTATCTGTGGCACTAAGAGAGATTCTAATAGTATCTCGGAGCAACATTTTGATGGACAAAATGTCATAGTCTTTTTTTTTTTTTTTCAGTCCGAAAGGACATAGTCCGCATCCTCCCCAGTTTAGATGTTGAAGTCAAAGACATTACTGACAGTTATGATGCCAACTGGTTTCTTCAGCTATTATCTACACAAGAGCTCTTTGAAATGACCAGTAAAGAGTTTCCCATAGTGGCTGAAGTCATAGAGGCACCTCAAGGAAACCAGCTGCCCAGAAGCATTTTACAGCCTGGGAAAACCATTGTGATCCACAAAAAGTATCAGGCATCGAGGATCTTAGCTTCAGAAATTCGAAGCAATTTTCCTAAAAGGCACTTCTTGATCCCCACTAGCTATAAAGGCAAATTCAAGCGGCGACCTCGGGAGTTCCCAACTGCCTATGACCTTGAGATAGCAAAGAGCGAAAAGGAGCCTCTCCATGTGGTGGCCACCAAAGCCTTTCATCCCCCTCATGATGAGCTGTCATCTGTATCTGTCGGGGACCAGTTTCTAGTGCATCACTCACAGACGACTGAAGTCCTTTGTGAGGGAATCAAAAAAGTGGTGAATGTTCTGGCCTGTGAAAAAATCCTCAAAAAATCCTATGAGGCAGCACTGCTCCCTTTATACATGGAAGGAGGTTTTGTAGAGCTGATTCATGACAAGAAACAGTACCAGATTTCTGAGCTCTGTTCGCAGTTCCACTTGCCTTTCAATGTGAAGGTATCTGTGAGAGATCTTTCCATTGACGAAGACATTTTGGCTGCTACACCAGGACTGCGGTTGGAGGAAGCCATCACAGACTCTTACCTACTCATAAGTGACTTTGCCAACCCCAAGGAGTGCTGGGAAATTCCTGTCAGCCGCTTAAATATGACTGTTCAGTTAGTTAATAGTTTTTCTAAGGACACAAAATCATTTCTAGTCAGGACTCTGGTTGAAGAGATCACTGAAGAACAATATTACATGATGCGAAGATATGAAAGCTCTTTCTCCCACCCCCCACCTCGCCCTCCCAAACATCCTGCAGTGGAGGAAACAAGGTTAACCCTGCTCACCTTGGCAGAAGACAGGGCCATAGGTCTTCCTAAGTCTCCCAAGGTAAGGCTATGATTTTGTGATTTTTCCTCTTTAGCATTTTTCTTGAGGCACTTTATCTCAAGTCTTATTTCTGAATTTGTTTTTTGCTTACTTTTCTTTCTTTCATGCCGTATTTGAAATGAGCCTTTCTGGTGCACAGTAGATGAATGAACATCAACAGAGCATAAGCTGTTGCAGCATTTTGTATTTTGATGCTTAACCAGTAGATGTGACAAGAAGTTTATATTGAATTAGAAATAGCAGGGTTGACATTTGGATATGATGACCCAAATTGCTGTCTCAATGGGTTTTGGTAATTAGGAATGTTTTATAAGGTGCCTCAGAAGCAAATCTCTTATTTTGAAAGTGCTGTTCGTTTTTTCTAGGTAGAGTTGTTTTAATACTTCATCCAGGAAATGAGCATACCATAAACTCCCTTCTTCGGGGGGGTTACCAGTAGCATGGGTCTATAACACATGTCTTCATTTTGTTTTATGTGCAGAAAGATGTAAAAATATCTTGGCAGAACTGTGTGTGAGCATATGAGCATCTGCCCACATTCTGCCTATCTGAGGATTGTAATCTTTAACAGTTCTATTGAAAAACAAAATCAATAAAATTGCAGACAGTGTGAGATCATTACAGAATCAACAACTCCATAACCATTGTAAAGATTTGGGGAGGGGTGGGGTTTCAGCTTCATTTCTACTTGAAGTCTTTGCCTCTTGAAAACTGCCTGCTGAGTGCCTGGAAAGCACTTGCCCTTACCCCATGGAGCGCAGGTCGTTCATCTGGACGGCAGTGGTTCTGTGGTGTGTGGAAGAAGCGGTTCTGGCCTAGCAGATGTTGTGCTAGCAGCTTGGGGAAACAAAGCAATTAGTAAAACAAAGAGAGATGCTGTGTTTACTCTCTACACTCAGGAATGATAGCAGCCTCAGGCTTCAAGTATGTGGGTATGAAAATACTTTTAATTCTCCATTTCAAAGATTGCATTCTGAGTACATGCTGGATAAATCCAGTAAGAATCTTCAAACTCATCTTCAGAAAAAGATAAAAGCAGCAGAAATTTCCTTTCCAGAAAAACAATCTTGAAAGTCATTTTAAATTAAATCATTGTTCCCAAATAATGTTGATTAACAGGCTGCTATTAATGTGGAGAGTATATGGCTTTTCCTGTTTCATATATTTTTATTGCTGAATGGAATGATGTGAGAGATGCGATGCTGGTCTCATTTTTAGCAGGAGGCATAATAACCCCCTTACCCCCCGATGCCCTCCCAAGATGTTCGTGACTAAGCCTCCAGAACCTATGGATATGTTGCATTAGATAGCAAAAGAGACTTTGCACATGTGCTAAAAATTAAGGACTTTGAGATGAGATTATTCTGGATTAACCACATAGGTCCAACTTAATCATGAGTTTCACCGCTTGATAAGAATATCATCTCTTTGTTTTGTTCCAATTTAAAAAGTCTAGGATTTGGGAGCACATGCCCATCTCTTGGATGAATCAGTTCATTGGCTGCCCCAACTACAGCCAAGATTGTTGGGGAAGGGAATGAGGACTGCTTGTCACAAGTAGTAGAGATACTGGAACAGTATGTGAAGATCTGAAGATGTCCATTACAGTCAGGAAGGAAGGAGTCAACAATCCTAAACTATTGGGAAGAATTCATAGGAAAAAAAAAGGTTAAAAGTTTTTAGAATGCCATTTCACAGAATGTCAGATGAAAACGATGTACGTGTCTTATTAGGAGAGAACCTCAAAAAACAAGTTACACATAGGTTACTGACTTGGAAAAACCTCCAGACCCCCTCCTGAGTCTCTCCTTTACTCTCACATGGCTGCCACACTCACAATACTGACACTAGATATGTGAGTGTTTCTCATACCAAGCAATTTATTGACACCAACTGGACATTCTACAACTTAACTCGATTCTGACACTATCTACCCAGAGATAGAATCAGATCCCACATGTTAAGGGCTCAGTCCCGCAAGACTGCCCCCCACTTAAGATGCTAATTGCAGGTAGTAGGTCCTCAGGTTACCTATAACTTCTGTCCGAGAAGGCTTCAAATTGGAGGTTCCCACGAGCCCCTCCTCGGGTTCAATGAATTCTCTAGTGTGGCTCAGACAACTCAGAAATACTTAGGTTTACTAGTTTGTTAAAGGATAGGATAAAGGATACAGATAAACAGTCAGATGGAGAGATAAGCAGGGCAAGGTCTGGTAGGGTCTGGAAACACAGGAGCTTCTGTCCTGTATAGTTGGGATGTGCCACCCCCTTGTTAACCTGGAAGCTCTCCAAACCCCATACTTTTGGCATTTTTATGGAGGCTTCTTCACACAGGGACAATCAATTATTAACCTTATTTCCAGTCCCTCTCCCCTCTCTGGAAAATTCCAGAGTGGACAGTGGGAGAGGGGCTGAAAACTCCAAGCTTCTAATTATGTGGTGGTTTTTCTGGTGACCAACCCCCATCCAGAAACCCACTCAGGGTCACCTCATCAGAAAAAAAATATGTATATTCCTATCACCCAGGAAATTCCAGGGGATTTAGGAACTCAGTGTCAGGAACCTAAGGTAGAGACCTATTTTTATTTTCTGGTATCTCACAGTTACTAAAATAAAACTAATAGAGTCTTTGACTAAATCCTATGCCATTTACATGTAGAATTCCATATCAAGTTAATAATTTCTGACTGCTTTTTCACTGGTCAGACCTCACATGGATTCTTTTGTCTATTTCTGAGTTCCACCTCTGAAGAATATTAATTAAAGTTTATTAAACGTTGAGTTGTTTGTTAAGATGTTAAAAAACCCAGGAGCCAGGGGCGCCTGGGTGGCGCAGTCGGTTAAGCGTCTGACTTCAGCAGAAAAGGTGAAAGCAGAAGCTAGGAAAAATCCCAGGTCAGTGATGTTATCAGGACACTTCTCCTCGGTTGACAGTTTATCAGTCAGTTGAGAAGGGTCTATAATTCTTTGTTTGTAATTAGTTTCATCAATGCTAGTGTGGTAGATAAAAAACTATATTTTCTCTGAAATCACATTAAAATCAGAGGATGCTATAATTTACCTGTGCTCAGACCTACTGACCTCATTTTCAACAATTTTTTTCACCAGGAAGATAAAAATCTGCTTAGTGGATCATTTTTGGAATATAAACAGAAGCTCTGTCAGTTTCTGCATAATCTACTTGAAAAGTCTTGCAACCAACTATTTCTTATCATCACAGTGTCATCCTTTCATATACTTCTTTTATGTTTCTTCTGATATCTGCATTAAAGCTCTTCTATCTATGTATGCTTTTAGAAGTGATTGGTTAGAACACTTTTTATATTCCACAGACAGAAAGCAGCCATTGGAAATAAGCCTCTAATATTTTGAATTGCATATGGAATATTGCTTGAAACTCAGAGAATAATTTGCAAGGGCTATTCAGTGTTTAAATATTCGAACTCACTTAACTCATTAAAATACCTTATTATATATGTAGAGTAGAGTATCAAATTCCTCATTATGTAACTTTACTTATGCCTTCCCAGTGGGTCATTAATTTTACTAGATCATTTCTTGCACTATTAAACAACAGGACAGACACATGTACTATCTAAGAGTACAGGTATCCACTGTTAGTTATGAACTTACATGTTCAAAGAAGTTTAGAAATGAAGAGAATATGAGGACAGGTTACAGAAACTAGAATAAATAGAAAGAACTATTTTCCAGGGTAGGATTACAACTGTTCTGTAGCTTCAGCAATGCCTAAAATAAGAATCAATTGTAGTAGCACTTTGAGAACTGTGATATGGATATGAGCAGGGCAGGTGAGGGGTGTGTGTGTGTGGGGGGGGTAGATCTCAATAGAGATGACAGCACATCTCAAAGCCTATAAAGTTTTACACTGAAGGAATTTATTGTTGTTTTGAAAATGTGATAGCTGTTAGGGAAAATAATGTATGGGGTCTAAACAAAGGGATAAGAATATACAAAGTGACCCCTCAAAATTCCTTTTAGCCTGATGACAATGTAGACATAGTATCTTTAAGAGCTTTGCATTCAGATTCTTAATGAGATGAGAACAATATTATAAAATGACTAAATAAATGTCTGGGCTTAAAACTGTTTTCGAAATAGGAATCTTCTGGGGCAGACTCTCCTTTCCTGAGGGTTAGTTCCTACATCAGAAATAGTTTCAGATAGTTTGAAAGAACATGTACTCACTGGGGTTTCTGCCTGTCCTGGATATATATGGCTATGACTGCTGAGTGCCACATAGGAGAAATGTAACTTCTGTATTCTGATGAAAGGGCCTATAACCACATAGAAAAACAAACCTTTGGTTGAAAGATGAGATATTCTACTCCTTCCAAGGCTGCACCTGGGACCAGAAATCTTGCATTTCACTAACTCTGTTTGGCCATTTGATGCCCAAGTGTCCACTTTGCTGCTGGAATTCCTAGATTTCTGTCAGACAAGAACACCCATAGGAGACATTAAGGCAAAGAGCAAGGGAGGCAGTAATGGCAAGGTAGTGTGAATTGAGCAGAAAACAAACCCTGTACCAGAATTAGAGTGAGAGCGGAAAAAGGCAGAGGGAAGCAATCGTTTCTGGGAGGTGTAGAGAGAACACTTCACCAGCTGCTGCTGGGTGTTAAGACTCACTTCTGATCTGATGTGACAGTTAGTGGCTGAAAAAGCATTAAAGAAACCATGCTCCTAGGGTAAATCTAGATCGTTAGACAATAGTATTATATCTCCTTCTTTTATTTTTGTTAATGCAATGTGGTGTAGACATTAAGAATGTTTGGATTTGTAACCACCTCTGCACTTTGAAAGATCACTATCTCTCTACTTGTGGTGTATTCTCTTGGTCTAACAGAGAAGCTGTAAGTCTGTTTCCCTATGAATAACGAAAAGTAATGTTTTAGCAGTCTTCAGACACCAAAGGCAAAGATGGTGGAAAACATGCACAGAATTGAAACACTGAGATTTTAAATCTGAGAAATAAGAAAG